CTATCTTTGCTACAAAAATGATAAAACTATAGCAAAATGATATACTTAGGACGTTCCAAAAGTTCTGATAACGATGTTTAAAATTTTATAAAACTGTAAATATTGAATGTTTCATGAAGACAATATATAGTATAACGTCTCGTCTTCAATAATCTATAGAGCAACTCTATCTTGGATTTAGTTCTAACATTCTGCTAGACTAAGTCTATAGTATTTATATAGCTAAGAAAAGATTCTGACAACATAAAACCAGAATATGAAAAGGAAGAAATACTCGTAATTTAATTGTATTGAATGCTCAAAATAGTCACTATTATTTTCTATACAGAGTTCCATCCTTTCAGACAGTTTATCGAAAGTCTTTTTAAACTTGTTTATTGAAATATTTCTCACTATGGTGGAAACCTCCTGAGCCAGCGATTCTTCATTTGTGTGATCAGCCAAATTACTCTTGATATAATTATTTAGCCAAAAGTCACATGGTGCAAGATATGGTGAATGTGAAATTATTTCGATGCCTTGCTCTGTTAAATAATTAACAACATCTCGATAAACATGGAAAGAACCATTATCATGAAGCACAGGATGTTAGAACTAAATCTAAGGATAGAGTTGCTCTAATAAATTATTGAAGACGAGACATTATACTATATATTGTCTTAATAAACCATTCAATATTTACAGTTTTATAAAATTTTAAATATCGTGATCAGAACTTTTGGTACGTCCTAAGTATCAACGCTGTAATTGACCAAGATTAGATCAGTCCTCTGTTGGCAAAGTTATGTTTATTTACCCATAATTCGAAGTGCAATAGATTGTCTCTATTCTTCTTGGCAGTCGTGAGGTAGATTTCACGATTAATTGTCAAAGAAATATTATGTAGTCAAGGCGCCAGTTTCATTCAAACTAAAGCCAGAGAACACATCAGTGAGATGGAGTGTTAGAGTCTTCCTCACATGGACGAATATCTTGTAGCTTCTATACCACTCTTACCTCTCCCACCTACCCTACACTGTAAAAACAAATCGTAGAATAATAAACCCTTTTCATAGGGTTTATTATTCTACGAATTTTTTTTACAGTGTAGGTACCCACTTACTCCATGTACACACCTACCCGCCTACTATTGCGCTCCCCTTCACACCATCTTTCTTACCTCGATACCTCTGTATCTATTAGCATAGTATTTAATCTAATTTTCAGGAAACCTGAAAAACACATCATTTGATTTCAAATAACTTATCCATCTAGACACATGTACTGAGGTGCGATTTATCCAAAACTGTCGTTTGATTTCATTGTTTCAAATGTTAAACCCTGCGTACTACATGATTATTAAAAATCGTGGTTTTTTACCTGGACAAAATTATAAGAACAAAGTAGTATTTTCTTGTTCCTACTCGAGTGAGACGTTATTGTCATTCGAAGATAATACAGACAGATAAAGGAACTCATTCTGAGCAATTTCATACAAAATACTTTTGAAATTGGTTTGTTTTTGGATTTAAAATTCGGTTTTATCGTTTCAGAAAAAATCAGCTTAAAATGACTGAAAAATGCCACTCTCTAGCATATTTTTGGCTACATAAACTAAATTATAGCTGTAATTGCTTTTTTTGAGAGGTGAAGCTTGTAGAGTAGATTTCGCGCTACAAAATGGCAAGTTCTCAAGCTCTGAGAGTGTGTTTTCTAAAAAGAAACAACTCTTTTAAAGTAGAATGCACTGAAAAATGACAATTTCAAGCCATTTTTGACACTTTTTTCTTTGTTTTATTTTAAAACAGGTCTTTCTTTTTAGAAAACTGACTCTCGAAGTTTGAAAACCTGTCATTTCATAGTGCAAAATCTACTCTACAAGCTACAGCTAAAAAAGCAATTACAGCTATAATTCAGTTTGTGTAACCAAAAATACGGTGGAGAGTGGCATTTTTCAGTCATTTTAAGCCAATTTTGCTGAAACGATAAAATCCAATTTTAAATCCAAACACAGCCATTTTAAGAGTATTTTATATGAAACTGCTCAGAATGGGCTCCTCTATCTATTTGTAAAATTTTCGGTTCGAAGTGATCTATCTTCTATATGAAAAATAACAAAATACTTCTTTGTTCTTATAATTTTGTCCAGTCCAAAACACACCATTTGTAATAAGCTTCAACTTTTTCATAGTTTACATTGAAAACAAGGAAAACTGACTTGAGAGGAGTGAGACGAGCACGAGGCATCGATTTCAATAACCGACATTTCAATCATAGTATAAGCGAATCTAGTAAGTTTCAAACAGATTGATTTGTCCGTGCTACAGCAAACTACGTAGCATTTTGATCCTCTCTATAGACAATCCACAGAGGCTAGGAATCGATAATTTGTTCGCATCTGAATGAGAAAACGATCACGGTTGCGTATCGTTTTCAAATCAGTTTCAAAAAGAAATCTTCGCACTGTTCTCTTTCGCAACATCGTTTAGCTACTATGGGTTTGCTTCGAATTCTACTAACTTGTCTCACAATTCCAAAGAGTATACTTTCGAACAACAGTGACTGAATGGACGCACTTTGTAGGGTTACTACAATGAGTAATCATACCATAGTATGCTTGTACATGAAACTGATTCTCATTTGAAAAGAATGTTGTATTCTTGAAGTAGCATCTGTTCGACGAAAAGCTCCGTCATACCGTTGTGATTTTTAGCTCTTTATAAAGTACCGCAGCTCATCTCAATGCACATGGTCTTCTACCCAAGGAACGTTGTGCCGCTTCATATTGGAAGACAAAACTCGACTAATCGAATTTTAGTCTCTCATTTATTTGTTCTTATCCGCCAGTATAGTCTAGGAGAAAAACGATTTTTCGGACCTCATTACTTTTCTCATAATATTGAGACAACATATATTGCATGAGTAGAAGATAACGATGAATGCCTGTTTTCTTCCTTGCACATCTCATTATGAAACATTAAATCTTGTCTTGTCTTGTCACTTCGTCATCTTGCTGCTTCGTTCAGATTCGTCGAAACAGGGCCAAGCCGCCGCTGCTGCCGGACCCAAAGCAAAACCAGAACCAACAAAGAGTCAACCCGCAACAATCGCTAAAGTTCAAGAAAAAACACGTAAGTCCATTGCATCGTTTAAAATCTATCGCAAGAAACAGTATTGTGTCAGTAGTAACACGCAACTGATACCAAAGCTGCGGATCTGCTAAAAATAGCAAGATAATCATGCTTTTTTGTGCAGTAGGGCGACAGATCACGAGTCGCATGCCTACTCTGAGGATTTCCTACATATGAAGTATTGCTAAAGATTGAATGAGCCCTCCCACGGAACATCACTACCCGAAGTATCAGCAGTTGAGACAGAGGTGTGTGGAGCGAATGCGTACGATTTTTTTAATTTTTGATTTTCGTGCCTAATATCTGCATCATCTTAGGTAATCCAAAACAATATTCGCTTCAAACAATATAGAGCAAACAGTTTTCATTCATTTAGTGCTTTTAGATTTGAAAAATGTTGCTGGAAACCGAGTCTACGAAGGTTTTCGTGCAAGTTCCACCACCATTATGCATTCGCCCCACATGGGGAAAATATAAAATCCAAGGTGGAAACAGCAGACTTCAAGTGACTTCACTATCAGAGAATTTAGATTTTCGAAAAAACTTGGCAAAACTTCATAAGACTTCATAACAAGAAAATAATAAGAGAATTCAAGACTTCAAATGATTTCTAGAGACTTCATAAGACTTCATAAGACTTCGTAGACTTCAACAAACTTCATAGCTGAAGTCCTGCTGTTTCCTCATTGATTCAACCGCAACTCTTTTGGTTGAACTTAGTAAAAATCAAATTTTTGGACATTTTTCGACTTTCTTTCAATTCATGTTCGTTACACAAAATAATGTCCAACTCGTGAAAATCTACCAGTCTATACTACAGGTTAATCCCACAATCATGAAAACATTTGTCGAGTCGGGCATGAGATGAGTGGTGCAGTCTGTTTTCAGTGTCGCTCATTAAGCTGATAGCTATCCTGTACACCGTGCGACGGTTGTGGACCAGAATCAGACGCCTCTCCATGAGAATTAAATGAATTTCCATCACCGTGTACTTTCATGAGAAATGTGTATCGTTTTAGCGTCCAAACCAGCATCTTCTCCGCCACAATATCGCAACGCGGAAGTTGAAAACGAGATTAATAAAAACAAAAATGCCGAAAGACTAGAATTGAGTTCTATGAAACTTAATGATCAAGATATGGAAATCGTTGCCTATTATGCAATTAGAAACAATACGGTAAGGAATGGTTTTCATTAAGCAAGACTCTTGATAGAATCAACGCATTAGGAGTCACCACATTTCTTTATGATTAGTTTTATTTCCTATTTGATACTTCAGAAGTACACCACCGAACGGGTCTCGACAACTTATTTATATTGACATATAGGCCGCACTCTGGCAATGTAGCACAGGTTCGGATATGGATAGGTTGTTCAGTGAATAAACTTTATTTCAGCAAAGTTTATCAGTGTGTTCGAAAAATAGAGACTTCAAAACAAATAGTTAGTCATGAGTTGGTCCTCAGTTATGAGCTAAAAGCTATAGATGTGCAACTAACGATTCATCACCAAACACATTTGCAAGCGCAATGGAAAGGTTGCGTGAACCTAAATAATGACTTTTATGCTTGAAATATCGTCGAATATTTCTAAATCATCCATTTGCACGCCACTTCATTCTTCAGATCAGCAAAGACAAAGATAGAAATTCCTCTGTGACGCGTGTAAAATTTCGTCCTAATAGTTTGCGATCGTTTTTTCGTAAATATCTTTTCGAGCGGCACGTTTGCATCCATTTGTTGATAATAGCACTGATGAGTTATAATCTGCACAACATTATTTCGCTGTTTTCTCGTCTGGTGTTTTCGCCAAAAATGCATCGGATAGAGTGCGCCATTGTTAGATTCAAAAGTCCCAGAACAATTTCATTCGAAAGAAGCCGTACGAGTCCATCATGATGTTCTTGAATCTTCGTCGACATGTTTCGTTCGTAGTGATATGTTTCATGAATGTAATAGACTCAATGTCATGTTTCGTAGGTAATAACAACATCGTAAAACATCCAGTTTTTGTTCGATATGTGATTGGATTCGGCAGCGAGCCCAAGTGACGTTTTACCACGCGTCTTTCGCATTAGGTTCAAATGATTCGTGTTTCGATTTTCTAGCGCAGTTCGATATTCATAACACAACCAGTGGAATGGATTAAAACTGAGCTCTTCGATTTCCAATTTTTTAATTTTTCCTAACAACAGACGGTTGTATAGAGCTCCATTAAAAATTTAACGAAGTCGATCAGTACAAGTCTTCCTGATGTTCGAAATTCAGCAGTCAAATATGACCGATGTATTATTCACGAGGCAGAGCGAAAAACATAGTAAGATTCGAGTTTGATCTTTCAAAGAGCACATTGATGTTCTGTGTGGCCAGTTCTCTGCTCACTTGGTCGCTAGAATAATGGACGCGCCAGAATAATGGTGATCTCGCTGTTCCGTGCATGACTCTGTTCGTATTCCTTGCTTTTTGGCATAATTATCTCTAAAAAAAAACGATATGACTTTATACAGAGATTAATGGCAGATTTTTCAAAAAATGATTAGATAGAAAGCGCTAACCCTGACGGAGATATTTGAAAAATAATGAGACCTTCATTATTTATGGACTACCCGTTCGAAGATTTCCTAAGCAGGAATACATTGTATATACTAGGGGTGTCAATTTAATTTATTTTTTCACATAAGTTAAATTTAAAAAAAATTAAAATTATTATGTAAGTTAAATTTATTTTAAATTTAATTTATTTGCTTTTCATAATTTATAAAATTAAAATTAAAATTAAATTAAACTATTCTATTTATGACCCACAGATAGTCCCTATAGCTTTTCAAGCCCTACCTGAGGATACCCTTCATAGGTCCATATATGGTATTTAGGGGTACCCTCCATAGGTCCTTATAGCGCATTTGGGGTACTCCCCTCATAGGTCCATATAGGCCATTTGGGATAACCCTTCATAGGTCCTTATGGGGTATTTAGGGGTGCCCCTCATAGGTTCTGATGGGCTATTTTTAGGTATCCCTCGTATGCGCCTATGTTCCATGTAGGGTATCCTTCACAATTCGTCAAGCCCTATCCAATGCTTATCCCAATATAGACCATGAAGACTTATCAAGGTACCCCCAAAATAGGGCATAAGGAGTTATAAGGGATACCTGAAAATAGTCTATATGGACCTATGAAGGGTACCACAAAATATCCTATAACGACCTATGAAGGGTACCCTTAAATACCCCATAAGGACCTATGAAGAGTATCTCCAAATACCCTATAAGGACCTATGAACGATACTCCTAAATACCCAATAAGGACCTATGAAGGGCTACCCCAAATGACCTATATGGACCTATGGGGGGAGTACCCTAAATACGCTATAAGGACCTATGGAGGGTACCCCTAAATACCCTATATGGACCTATGAAGGGTATCCTCAGGTAGGGCTTGAAAAGTTATAGGGACTATCTGTGGGTCATAAATAGAATAATTTCATTGAATTTTAATTTTATAAATTATGAAAAGCAAATAAGTTTAATTTAAAGTAAATTTAACTTACGATAATTTAAATTTTTTTTAAATTTAAATTTATTTAACTTAAAATGGAAAATGACACCCCTAGTATATACACTGACATCGGTCGTCAAGAAGTCTTAGAGAATTTATACAATGGTACGTGGCTATTCATTTGATACCATTTCAGTTTGCTGACCGAGATTTTCGAGAAGAAGTGCTCTATATAAAGTTAGTTTTCATTTTATATAGATTCATGTGTTTCTTTAAAGTGCCGGTATGAAGTTACAACTTTTTCTAGAGAACTTTATGATAATTCTAATAATCGAATATAATATCTAGGTCCATCAGGTCAGAATTTAGTGAGTTGGTGTGTAGTAATATCGAAAGGAAAAATATTGAAAGGGAAAAATGTCGAAAAACGTATTCTAACACGAAAACGTCTAGAAATGAAAAATAAAAGAAGGAATGATATCTCTCATTCTCGACAACTCGAAATTCGAACAATTTATGTTTTCTTCTCCTTTAATTCTACTAGCTGAGATTTTTCACCACTAGTAGTGAAGATGGCTAATAACTGATAAAGTTTAAATAAACAACTATATACGAATTAAATAAGTAACCAAAGTGATAATAGTATAGCAACAAATTTGAAACTTGCAAATGATGAAACTCAACCAACATTGATCATTTCATTTGTTAAATCATACAAAGGGAAAACTTTATGTTAGTATCAGCATGAAAAATAAAGTCTGCTTCTTGTATTTCAAGATTTTCTAAGATGAATAATGAGCCGTTTCTTAATCTATATTTTTTTCGACATTTTCCCTTTCGACATTTCTACTGCCAATCAGCGAGTGAGAAACAAAACAAATCAGAAACATACTTTTTCATTTCGCATACTCAGAGTGAATGCCGTCCATTGGCAATATGTTTGCAACATGTGACTTGATTGATGTACACAAAATGACTGCATGACAATTTTTAAAATCTCTGCGATCAAAAGTTGTGTTTATCTGTCAACTTTGATTCGAAACGAATCCGATCACTCTTACGGATTTTCGCACTGTCCATCAAAATCTTTCTACTTTACTCGGTTTCTTCTCTGCTGGGATAAGTGTAATGCATCTAAAGACTACGCTTATGCTTATAAATTTGTACCAAATCTATTCCGATATTCATGATTTTCCATAACTGAAGTGGTTCAATCAAAGCAGAAAACGATTCAATTGGTAGACTCCAAAGAATAGTTGCTCTAACGCAATACGATGAGCCACTCGTTGCTCTTGAGAAACCACGACAAAATGGGTCCGGATTCGACTTCAGAGGCGCTCTTGATAGGCCTCATCTCTGTAATCGCTTTCCATAGGAAACTGCAACATCTGATGTCAAATGAAGAGGAGCTCTGTTATTCGTACCATACACTTTTCTCGAAATAAGACAAGACTAGTTGACAGCTCCTTATACTCTCCTTCACTGCAGAACGAATCTTTCGCCAGTTGCTAGCTACCCCAATACTCTCTGTATTTTCACATAGATACATACCAATCTTGTTCTTGGTACTTGGGATGCGGACAATCCAATCGGAGACGAAGGCGCACAATATCTCGCCGAAGCTCTGAAAAGCAACAAGGTAAAGACGATTCTCTTCTCATCTCTCTCATGACTCTCGACACTTTTCGCACAGACACTCACTAGTCTCTGGCTTCGGAAGAGTCACATCGGAGACAAAGGCGCGCAGTATCTCGCCGATGCTTTGAAAAACAACACGGTGAACACGATTCTTTT